TGCAAAAGCCGGTCCTGCAGGGGCCAGCCAGGCGTCCAGGCCTCACCCTCAGCTCTGCCCGGGGAGGACTGGGCGCTGGACCTGAGTGGCCTGGGCCTGAGGGTGGGGCTTAGGGCCCCCAGGTGATCGTAATGTGAAATGTGGATTGAGAGGCAGGCTCACAGGCCCAGGTGGGCATCAGGTGGGCGTCAGGGGAGAACGTGCGAGGGGAGGCCAGAGAGGGAAGGCAGGGGCTAAATTGGGGGCACCCTCTGCTCTCTCTCCTGGCCAGCCAGGCCTGTCCCCGACCCCTGAGCTTGGGGGGGGGGGGGCTCCCAAATATTCTGAGCATGGTTGTCTCCTTCTCCCATGGTTCTAGGGTCAAGCTGAAGAGCAGCTGCATTTGTTCATGCAAAAGACACAGGGGCGCCTGGCCCACAGCACCGACATCATTGTGAACATGGAAGCTGGGTTCATAGGGAAGGGGAGGAGGCTGGGCCCCAAGGTCTGGGATCTGGTCATCAACTTGATAGACCCAGAAACTGGGTGTTCTGGTCACCAGCCTGTCAAAGTGCAGTCCCTGGGTTCCACCCTGACCTCCCCAGCCTCATAACCCCCCTCACTCTGTAGGTGCTGGACTCCAGGAGACCCAGCCTCCACAGGCGCCATCCCTGCTGCCTCTCTCAGTGGCAGCTCCATGCGGTGGTCCCTCCGAGTCACCCCGCCAGCGGGAGGGCAAACCTTGGATTCACAGACGGTGCTTTTTTAGGGAATTGCCCTCCTCAAGCCTCCAAGGAGGTGAAGCGCCCTGCTGTGTGCAAAGTGAGCGCACAGACCTTGTCACATGGCAGCCCCGTGAGGCGGGCATGAAGGAGACCCATTTCCCAGATGAGGCTAACTGACGCCCAGCGCGGGTAAAGGAGGGAGGTGCAACGAAAGCGGATGCCCGTGCCATTCCGGGCACTGGGCGTGGTGCTTGATGCACATCAGCTCTCAGGACACTCTCTCCCAAGTTACTGTGCTCACTTCCGGGAGGGAAAGACAGCTCAGGAAGGGAAGGAGCTCCCAAAGCTCAGCAGGCTCCCTTGTGAGGGGACCAGGCCGTCTCCATGATGGCCAGCTCCTTGGGGGACACCCTCTCTGGGGACGTGAGCCCCGGCTGCACGCCCACCAGCGCCCTAACAGGGGCCTCCACCCCTGACCAATGGGGGGAGGGACACAGCTCGACTCGGTGACGTTGCCACCCCCATGCACCCTGCCTGCTCAAGACAAGCCAAGGGACACAACTCCCATAATCCCCCTCCTCCCACCCCCCAGGAGAAATCAAGACGTGGGTCGTGGTACAACCAGGACTCTGCTGAAAGCCTGTCATCCCCCGTTGCCACAGCAACAGGAGCCTCTTTTTCCCCCAGGATGCGAGCAGAGCGGCTCCCCCAAAGTATCTTCTGCCTCTGAGAGTCTGTCACTCAATGATGATGGTGAAAGCTCGCAAGGTTGTTTTTTGCCATTTTCATTTATTCCATCTGCCGAGTCTCGGAGACCTGCTCTGGATTAGGATGGTTAGTTGGCCACTGGTTGCCATGGACACCGTGCTTCCTTCATCACCTGTTCATTCTGGGCCACGCTGGCTGGGGGTGTGGGGACCCCGGCCTCTTACCCAGGTTGGGAGGGGCCTGATGATGCACTAACAAAAGCAAAACCCCCAGTCCCAGCTGCGGAAAATAAAAACATAAACAGCCTGGAGCTAGTTACATCCATCCAAACGAGGTCAAGACAGCAGTTTATCAAGCAGGCTAACGAGCCCAACTGGGGTGGCCCAGTGATTGAGCATCAACCCAGGAACCAAGAGGTCATGGGTTTGATTCCCAGACAGTGCACCTGTGGGTTGCAGGCTCGATCCCCATGAGAAGACATGTAGGAGGCAGCCTATAAATGATGCTTTTTCCCCATTGGTGTTTCTTTTTTTTTTAAAAAAAAAATATATTTTATTGAGTTTTGTACAGAGAGAAAGGGAAAGGGAAAGAGAGTTAGAAACATTGATGAGAGAGAAACATTGATCAGCTGCCTCCTGCACAAACACCCCCCCCCCCCCCCACTGGGGATATGCCTGCAACCAAGGTACATGCCCTTGACCAGAATCGAACCTGGGACCCTTCAGTCCCCAGGCTGATGCTCTCAAACCAGTCAGGGCACCCCCCCCCCCATTGGTGTTTCTATCTCTCTCTTCCTATCGCTCTAAAAATCAATTTATACATATATATATATATATATATATATATATATATATATATATATATAAATATTTAAAATATGTATATTTTAAACCCAGGTCAACAAGCGTTCCATTTGGTTTTCTGGAACATCTTGGGCAGACCCTTTACTCTCTTTGCTAGCCATGTGAAGATGTATTTTTATTTATTTATTTATTTATTTAATATATTTTATTGCTTTTCCACAGAGAGGAAGGAAGAGGGATAGAGAGCTAGAAACGTCGATGAGAGAGAAACATCAACCAGCTGCCTCCTGCACACCCCCTACTGGGGATGTGCCTGTAACCAATGTACATGCCCTTTACCGGAATCGAACCTGGGACCTTTCAGTCCGCAGACCGACGCTCTATCCACTGAGCCACACCGGTTTTGGCTGAAGATGTATTTTTATGAGGCAAAGCGGTGGATGTGTTATGCGGGTTCCTGCCTTCCCTTGAGGCACAGGGGCCTCCAGGAATTGGCTCTGGATAGGGGGTTTGCAGGAGGGGAGATGGGGGGCAGCCCTGGGAAGATGTGGGGTAGCTGTGAGCTACATGCAGCCCAGCACAGAGGGCTCGGGGCGGGGGAGGGGGGAGGGAAGGGGGCCCGATACTCTGGGGTTTCCAGGTGAGGGAAGGTGAAGGGGTTCACAGCCACCAGGATGTGGCCATGGGGCAGGGAGAGAGCGGCCATCAGCCACGGCCCATTGTGCCCGATAACGGGGACACGTCCTGTTTGCAGAGGCCGGCGGACGGACAGGAGATCAATACGTCACTCTGGTCATGCCCTCCTGGTCTCAAACACGCTCTCTCTGACTCTAAGGTCATTGGGTCCACCCGCCTCACCTGCCCCCTAACAGGAAGTAGTCTAAAGGATGCCCCCCCAGACCCCTGGCCCCGAGGACACGGCGGGGGCATTGCTCCTGGCCCCAGGAAGCCCGTCTCCTGCCTGCCTCCATGCCCAGCAGAACAGCCCCTACCCTGCTTCTGTCCTCGCCATGAAGTTCAGCATCCCTTCCTTCCCCCACATCCGGGGGACTGACTGGATGGCAGGGTGGGGCAGGTTTCTTCGCGCTGGGGGGAGCCTGGCCTCCTGGGAACGGAGGGCTGGGAGGGGCCTTGAGGGGCTTTATAAGGCTGGGCTGGAGCCACCGGCCCAGCAGAGAACCGAACCAGCCGAGAGGCACCAGGCGGACCTCAGCATCACCAACTCCCGCTCTGCAGGTGAGAGCACTTGGAGGGGAGGGAGGGGGAGGCTGGGAAGAGTGTTGATGGGGCCCCACGCCCTGTCAGGCTCCCGTATCACTGTCACTCGCCTTTACCTGTGGTGGGACTAGGCCTCAGCAGGAGGACCCACCCTGGCTTCCCGACCCTTGCCTTTGAGCTGACCTGCGGCAGCTTCCCCCAGGGCCCAGCCCTGACCCTCTGACGCCATACCTCCCACCTCCCCGCCAGTCCTGGAGGTCAGAGAGACAAAGGCTGTTCTCCCATCTCTCAGATGAGAAAGCTGAGGCCCAGAGAGAGGTATGACCCAAATGACTGGGTAAGGCCGGGCCTGGAACCCGTGTTCCTGGATCCCAGCTGGAGCTCTTTCCTAGACCAGCCCTGTCTGAAAGAACCTTCCATGACTGTGGTAGTGTTCTTGTCTGCTCTGTCCTGTACGGTACCCACGAGCCACACAGCACTGGAAACAGGGCGAGTGCATGGGAGGACCTTCCTATCATTTTTTTTAAATATATATTTTATTGATTTTTTTACAGAGAAGAGGAGAGAGGAGGGATAGAGAGCTAGAAACGTCAATGAGAGAGAAACATCAACCAGCTGCCTCTTGCACACCTTCTACCGGGGATGTGCCCACAACCAATGTACAATACGTGCCCTTGACCGGAATCAAACCTGGGACCTTTCAGTCCACAGACCGACACTCTACCGCTGAGCCAAACCGGTTTCGGCTGGACCTTTCTATCTTGATTAATTAAATGTTACGAGCCACATGGGGCCAGTGGCTACCCACATGGTTAGTGTTGGACACGGTGAGTGTGCTGGGAGTCTCCAAAGAGATCCCTTGTGGTCCTTCAACACTGTTGAGTGAAAAAACAAACAAACAAACAAACAAAACACATTTTTTATTGATTTCAGAGAGGAAAGGAAAGGGAGAGAGAGATAGGAACATCAAGGATGAGAGAGATCATGCTTTCTTTTTTGCCTTCTAAATGTATTTTTTTTTTTTAATTGATTTCAGAGAGGAAGGGAGAGGGATGAGAGAGAATCATGGATCGGTTGCCTCCTCCACGCTCCACACTGGGGAGCTAGCTGGCCTCCTGGGCATGCGCCCTGACCACGTATGGAACCGTGACCTCCTGGTTCATGGGTCGATGCTCAACCCCTGAGCCACGCCGGCCGGACCCCTGGTTATTCCTTTTAAAGTTTGCCTTCCATGGCAAGAACAAAGCACCCACTGAGCTGCTCTTTGGATTGTGCAGAACAGCTGAGAAATCGTTGCTCTAGGTTTTCCATCCCCCCCTAAGAAAAGCAGCCGCTGGAATCAGGGTAGGGAAGGAGGAGAGGGGCAAGGCGTGGAGGTGTGTGTGTTGGGGGTGGGGGGGTGGGGGATAGTAGGGGGGGATGGGGTGGACAGCAGGAACAGTCCAACAGCCCTCGCAGCATTGCACACCTGCCAGCAGGGGGCACCTGGAGCCCACCTGGCCCAGGCCCCTGCCCCTGGTGCCCGGACTGCCTCTCCACGCTCGGTCCTGCTCTCTCTGCAGACAAGATGCAGCGCCTGTGCGTGTATGGGCTGCTCCTGGCTCTGGCTCTGGCCGCCTTCTCCGAAGCCTCCTGGAAGCCCCGCTCCCAGCTGCAGGATGCACCCTCGGGCCCAGGTGCCGGGGGGGCCCTGGAGGCACGTTGGCTGGACCAGCTGGGCTCAGCCCCTCGCCACCAAAGGCAGCTGAAATTCCCGGGTCCCCCACACCCCGTGGCAGGTAGGAGCCGCGGACAGCCCTCCCTGCTGGCCTCGCCCAGCCAGTGTGGGCCTCAGTCCCCGGGGCCAGGTGTCCTGGTCCATCCTCACCTCCTCTCCCCCTCCGGCTGCAGACCTGTCCAAGAAGCAGGGGCCGTGGCTGGAGGAGGAAGAGGAAGCGTACGGATGGATGGACTTCGGCCGCCGCAGTGCTGAGGAAGGAGACCAACAGCCCTAGCAGCGCCCGGTCACCGCCCAGCCCAGCCCAGCCCAGCCCAGCCCAGCCCCATGGAAAACCAATCCCAATAAAGCGGCTTCCAATGGACCACATTGCGTCAAGTGTCCTGGGGCAAGGGAGGGGCATTGGGGCAGGGTTGGGGCAGGGAGGGGCGTTGGGGCAGGGTGGAGGCAGGGAGGGGAGTTGAGCACTGTTCTAGGGGCAAGAGGCCATGGCTCATCCTTCTTGGTGTCCCCAGAGCCCAACACTCATGTGAGTGGGAGAATAGGGGGTGAGGGCTGAAATCAGAGAAAGCTTTTTATTTTATTAAAAAATATTTTTATTGATGACAGAGAGGGAGAGGGAGAGAGAGATAGAAGCATCAATGATGACAGCGAATCATTGATTGGTAGCCTCCGCTTCCAGAGCAAGTCATGCCATCTGCAGGAGAGAATTACTTACGATTTAAAAAGCCACCCCTGGCCCCACCAGTGTGGCTCAGTGGTTGAGTGTGGGCCTAGGAACCAGACAGGAGGTCGCTGGTTGGATTTCCGGTCAGGGCACCTGCCCTGGCTGCAGGCTCGATCCCCAATATGGGGTGTGCAGGAGGCAGCTGATCCACAATTCTCTCTCATCTTTGATGTTTCTATCTCTCCCTCTCCCTTCCTCTCTGAAATCAATAAAAGTATATTCAAAAGATAAAAATTAAAAGCCACTCCTCCAGCCTTTGAAAGTCTGGGGTCCACCATCCTGGGCTGCTGATCCATGATCCCGCCTCCCCCTCCCCGCCATGACTCCCCATCCTCCACAAGGAAATCACTGCCAGCCTCTCCTCTCCCATTGCTCATCGTTTTCCTGTCATCATGCCAGTAAGGGTCCAACAGGCATGCTCTTCCTGTTTGGAGGTCCCTTCTCATCCCCCTGCCCCTCTGCCATCCCCTCCAATCCAGCCACACAGGTCTCCCCACTATTGGGAAGCGTCATGCTTTCATTCATTCATGAAACAGAAGCTCTGACGGGACCGGTTTGGCTCAGTGGATAGAGCGTCGGCCTGCGGCCGGGTTCGATTCCGGGCAAGGGCATGCACCTTGGTTGCAGGCACATCCCCAGTGGGGGGTGTGCAGGAGGCAGCTGATTGATGATTCTCTCTCATTGATGTTTCTAACTCCCTATCCCTCTCTCTTCCTTTCTGTGAAAAATCAATAAAATATATTAAAAAAACAAAACAAAACAAAACAAAACAAAACAAAACAGAAGCTCTGCCCAGTGGCTCCCCACTAGCCTCCAGCCTCCGGCTTCCTGGACCATCTCGCTGTGTTGTAAACAGCTCTGTGTCTCCAGCTCCCAGCATGCAACGGGTCATACAGCAGAGGGTCATTCACCTCCTGCGGAGTCGATGTTTGTTGAACTGGGTTTGACCTGCTCATGAAAAAGCAGCCCTGAGGTCCCTGGGGAGCTTGGGGTGAAGGAGGAGGACAGGAAATGGAGAAGACAAAGAGAGACGAAAGGGACCCCCAGGTGGGGGCACCATCTAGTCAAGCACATCAGACTCCCAGCCTGGGGGGTCATAGGCGGCCCACCATGAATATATATATATTTTAAAAATATATTTTTATTGATTTTTCACAGAGAAGAAGAGAGAGGGATAGAGAGTCAGAAACATTGATGAGAGAGAAACATCAATCATCTGCCTCCTGTACACCTCCTTCTGGGGATGTGCCCGCAACCAAGGTACATGCCTCCGACCGGAATCGAACCCAGGACCCTTCAGTCTGCAGGCCGATGCTCTATCCACTGATCCAAACCGGTTTCGGTGCACCATGAGTACTTCTGAGGTCCAGTCAATATAATGGAATGTAAGAAACTTTTTGCACATATATTATACATATCTGCTGATTGCAATGTCTATGCTCTTTATGTAAGGTAAAATAAAGATTATTCCCTTGCCATTGTTGCAAGTTCACACGCTTTATGAAAAGGCTTCGCTATTTCTCCCAGCTTAATTAACTTGCACTTCCGTTAATTAATGAATGGTGTTATTGGTGAGATGTGGTAAAATAAATGGTCATGACTACTCAGCGGATCATGTAAACCTAAAATACCCCCCAGACCTTCCAGTCTCAGCCTGTAAGACCTCATTATTAAATAATTTAGAAAGAACTGTTAGAGATGACTTCATGAGCAGGCTGAACTTTCCTATTTTGCCATTTTGCCAAACGCATATATTTTTACCTTTAAAAAGAAACAATACTATTCATTTCCAATGAGACAAGGTGTAAGGGAAAGACAAAAATAAAGCCATGGATTTTTGTTGTTAATCCTCACGCAAGGATATTCTTCCATTGATTTATTTTAGAGAGTGGAAGGGAGTAGACGAAATATTAATAAAAACTTTGTAACTTAATTTTTACAATATCCTGTTATACATAATTATCAATAACGAACTACAACGTTCGCTAATGACTGATGACTATCACCATGTTGCATTCATTTCCCTTACTCGCCTTAACACGCAGGCGCACCATTTCTCTCCCCTAATACTGGCAGCGAATATTTTAGTAGCTGATTGCCAGGGCATTAGTCTTGTACTGACTTGTTTGGTGTGCGCAACAAGAAATATTTTGCTTTCGGAGAACAAGAAAAACAGGTTGATTTGCGTTATGCTTATTAATTTGTGCAGTTGTTCAGTGTCTGCTGAGTGAATGTTCAAGAAAAACACTAATTTTTATTAAAATTAATTATTTTAAGTCAGTGATTACTCATTTATTTCAGCTCTTTGTATTCAGCATGTCTCTACTAAAATAAACCTACGTTTCCATGAAAATGGAAGCTTCTGTGTTTTTGCGGCCCACATAAACTTAAACCTTGCTTACTTGGTCTGTGTTAGCCTTTGAGGGTGACAAGCTTGATCTAGGTTCAGTCACGGGAGCCCAGCAACTCCAGAGGAAGCCACCAGAGGGCAGTGTCAGCCCGCATCTCACGGCTCTCCAACGCCCTCCTGGGCAGGACCAGTCACCCGGCAAAAGAGGCCCAGTCTGCAAAGGGAACGTTTTGCAGACAGAGCAACCAAGGCTCAGCCCGGGCTCACTCTGCAGGGAAACCTTCGGGCCCAGCAGGTAGGCGTCAGCCACAGCCCGGGAGACCGGACAGGCGCCTTGTTCCCCTCCCCACCCTGTGCTGCTGCCTGACCCCAGAGGGCCTCCTGCTCCCCCTCCCTCCCAATGGGTGCCCTCAGACTCCTGCTGGGCCAGAGAGAGGGTAGAAGGAGGCCCCCCCACCCCCCGCCCCTCCACCAGAGCCATGAACTTGGGGCACCATCGCCCTGATGCCCAGCCTTGGGAAAAGTCACCTGGGACAGGGTATCCCATGGCAAGATCCCTGAGGGCCAGTGCCCGGGGTCAGGGCAGGGCCGGGCATGAGAACTACCTTCTGCACCGAACTGGGGAGCAGGACAGAGAGGGTGACCTGGACAGGTGTCCCCCTTCCCTTTCCCTCCTTCCCCCTTGCCTCCTGCAGGCCTCAGGGGAGCCCTCCTCCCTCTCCTGGCTCCTCTTCCCCCTCCTCCCCCAGCACCTGGGCTCCTCCACCCCTCAAGGCCCCCTCTTCCTTTTAACACCCCCTCCTCCCCCCCCCGGACCTCTGCCAGACTCCTGGGGCGCTGCCCTGGCTGGGGACAAGGGGACAGAATGGGCTGGGGGCCTGAGCCTCTCCGCCTGCTGTCCTCTGTTGTCCAGGACCCAGCTCAGAGCTTCCAGAAAAGGTCTTAAAAGGGGGGGAGAACCTGGGAGAGATCTGTCATCCTACCAACAATAAAAAACAGAGTGAAAAAGAAAAAGAAAAGGTCCTAATTCGAGTCCTGTCTCCAGAGGGTGACCTTCACCCGTGATTGATGAGTGACTGCTCTTTGGCAGAAACACGTGCTTCCAGCAGTACATAAACACGGGGTCTGGAAGCTGCGCCACAGCTGAAGGTGAAGGCGTGCCAAGCTGCAGCTCCGGGGAGGGAGGGAGGGAGGGAGGGAGGGAGGCCCGGGTTCAGCTCTGGGGAGCAGGGCGCTTCCTGTCCGGCTGCCCCGGGGGCGGGAGGGGACTGGGGGTGGGGCTTGCGCTGCAGAAAAAACAAACAAGGAATCCGGACCCGCCGTGTCGTTCCCGCCTGTGACCAGCAGGGGGTGCCACCTGAAAACGTATGTCCGCATCCCCGACACACAGGGCCTGTCTGTTGTGCACACGGAGGTCAAAGGTCCCAAGCCGGGCTGGAAGGAGACCAGACGTTGTCAAAGACCGTAATTCAAAACCTGAACATTCGTACAATTCTGGGGTGGGTTTCTTTGGGAGGACACGGGGTGGGGGGAGAAATCTCCTGTGTCCGCTCTGGGGCTCCGGGGGCAGCTCCCGTGCGGCCTCAGGAGGGCAGGCACAGCCCCGCTGTGTGGTGTGAATACCAAGCGGGCAGGCCTGGGGGAAGGATGCGCCCCCCTCTCCGGAGGGGCCGGCCTCATGCTGCCCGCTCCCTGACCTGCCCCGCTGGCCTGCAGGGGAGGCGCTTTCTGCTGGTACAGTGGGACCTCTGAGCATTCTTCTCTCTCTGGGAATGTAAGATCGGAAGGGACATTACGTCCAGGCTCTCCCCAGCGGAAACGGACCTCATTGGCAGGGACGCCATCTAGTTTGCAAACCTCACCAGGGGTCAATGGTGCGTTCCCCCATGCAGCTGTCAGGACCTCCTCAGACCTACAGGCCAGGGGGCCGCTCCGGGTGGGCTGCTGCCTGGACTGCTTCCCCCACACTGCACCCCTCACCCTGCGCCCCTCACACTGCACCCCTCACACTGCACCCCTCACCCTGCGCCCCTCAGGCTGCACCCCTCACACTGCACCCCTCACCCTGCGCCCCTCAGGCTGCACCCCTCACACTGCACCCCTCACACTGCACCCCTCACCCTGCGCCCCTCAGGCTGCACCCCTCACACTGCACCCCTCACACTGCACCCCTCACCCTGCGCCCCTCAGGCTGCACCCCTCACACTGCACCCCTCACACTGCACCCCTCACCCTGCGCCCCTCAGGCTGCACCCCTCACACTGCACCCCTCACCCTGCGCCCCTCAGGCTGCACCCCTCACACTGCACCCCTCACCCTGCGCCCCTCAGGCTGCACCCCTCACGCTGCACCCCTCACCCTGCGCCCCTCAGGCTGCACCCCTCACGCTGCACCCCTCACCCTGCGCCCCTCAGGCTGCACCTCTCACACTGCACCCCTCACACTGCACCCCTCACACTGCACCCCTCACACTGCACCCCCACACTGCACCCCCACACTGCACCCTTCACACTGCACCCCTCCCTCACACTGCACCCCCACACTGCACCCCTCAGGCTGCACCCCTCACTCTGCACCCCTCACCCTGCGCCCCTCAGGCTGCACCCCTCACTGCACCCCCTCACTGCACCCCCACTCTGCACCCCCACACTGCACCCCTCACACTGCACCCCTCACCCTGCGCCCCTCAGGCTGCACCCCTCACTGCACCCTTCACACTGCACCCCTCCCTCACACTGCACCCCCATACTGCACCCCCACTCTGCACATGGAGCCCCAGATGCATCCCCAGTGCACGCACTCAGTGGCTACTTGGTTATGCACTTGGTTGGCTTCCCCGCACTAAACCCTGTAACCGGTCCCCAGCCGGGCACTGCCATCCTCTGCCACGGCGGTGAGGAGCGGACCCTCAGGGGGAGTAGCCACGTTCCAGGGAAACAGGTGGTGGCCACGCGGGGCCTGACCCGGAGTCCACGCCCCGAACCAGCACCTGCTCGGTGTGCAGGGCCCTTTGGGGACCCCGCCGTCTCACGCTGCCACCTGAGTGTTCTCCCGTGAACCCCGATAAACACGCCCGCCTCACAGGGCACCTGGATGGGTCCTGCGCTCTTCATGTCTCTGTCTCGAAGCTGCTCCCGCCCTGGCCTGGTGTGCTCAGTGGTTAGGGCGTTGGTCTGCACACGGAAAGGGCTTGGGTTCGATTCCTGGTCAAGGGCATGGTACCTGGGCGGCAGGTTTGCTCCCCACCCCCTGTCGGGGCATGTGGGGGAGGCAACCAGTCCATGTGTCTCTCTCATATCAATGTTTCTCTCTCTCTCTCTCTCTCTTTCTCTCTCTCTCTCTCTGTCTCTGTCTCTGTCTCTGTCTCTGTCTCTGTCTCTCTCTCCTCCTCACCCCCCTTTCTCCCTCTCCCTCTTTCTGGAAAGCAATGGGAAAAATATCTTCAGGCGAGGATTAACAAAAAAAGAAAAAAAGACCTAACAAAAAAATGTAAAGCTGCTTCTTCCACATGACAACCCTTCAGATAGTTGAATGCCATGAGCATGTCCGGACACGCACTCTGCTTTATTGTCTTGGGCTAAAGAGACCCAGTTTCCCACCGTCCCTCAAGGACATGGCTCCCATCGGGCAAGGTCCCTCTGTAACCATCGAGCCCAGAATGGTGGGACCGGCTGGAGGACGGGTTGTGACCACTGCTTGCCTTGCTCTGCATGTGTTCTGGATAGAGAGAGAGAGAGAGAGAGTGAGAGTGAGTGAGTTCGGCTCTATTTCTGCAGCCAACCAGCTTCCATCTGCCCCTGTGCAAACCACTTCATCCCCTGGGACTCTGCTTCCTTCTGGGCCGGCCTCTGTCCTCGGGGTGACCTCCTGAGACCGCTGTGGGCCGCCCCCCTGCCTGTTGCTCTGCCATCCCTGGTGCCAGGACGCTGGCAGATGGGGCAGAGAGGGAATCTCCCCCATGGAGATAACGACACCCCGTTTTCCCCCTTCATGGGGTGGCTGTGCAAAGCCAATGAGGAACGACGCGTAAGAAAACTATTCTCTCCCGCTAAAAGGAATGCTGCTGCCGTTACCAACAGCCACCACCGCGTCTTCTTTTAAAAAAGCCAGACAGTTGCTTTGCCTGAAAGACAGGACTCCCAGGACGTTCAGCCACGAATGCGCTCAGTTGTTCATTCGTTGTGTGTGAAGCATCTGTTCTGGGCTCCGCGGATGCACCTGCTGGAGCAGACCTCGGCCGGACAGCGCCCAGGGCTGGGATTAGGGCTCGTCCTGTGAGCACAGCAGCTGCACACAGCTGGCTGGAAGGGGACACGGGAAGAGGAGCCAGGATTTTTAATTAATTTATTTATTTATTCCCACATGAAGCAAAGCCAGCCCAGGCCCCTCTGCGAATGTGTCCCTTTGTCCCGGCACCTCCCTTCCCCTCTATTCACCCTGCTCACTCCTCTGTGCCTTGCAAGCTGCTTTCAGGACAATGGACCTCTGAGTGGAATTGACTGTGCTGATGGCTGTGACTTCCTGGTAGGAAACACGGGATTCCAGCTCCCGGAGCCCCCAGCTGGGGAAGGTCTGGTCTGGCCTGGGAACCTGAGTGCAGGGGGTCCCCTTGCCATTTGGGGTTTAAAGCAGCAGGGAAAACCGTTCTGCTCTTCTCCCGCAGAGTACAAACACAGCAACAGCGTGGCTAGGATGAACCTTCCCGCCCTCAGCCCCCACAAGTGAGGTTCCTAAGGAGACGAGCTCCAACTGGGAGCACATTATTTCAGACAGGGCACTCCTAGGTGGCCGAGCGGACACAGACCCAGATGACAGCTGAGCAAAGCGAATCTTCGCTGTTCCCGTCGGCAGCTTTCCCCAGGGAGGACGGTAGAGGGTCACCCCGAGAATCTTTAGTAACAAGGAGGGGGTGGCCCGGCCGCCGTGGCTCAGTGGTTGAGCATGGACCTATGCACCAGGAGGTCAGGGTTCGATTTTGGTCAGGGCACATGCCCGGGTTGCATGCTCCAGGAGGGGGCATGCCAGAGGCAGCATGTGCCCTGATTGGGAATCAAACCGTGACCTCCTGGTTCATAGGTCGACACAATTCCACTGAGCCGCACCAATCAGGCTGGGTCTAAGGGTTTCAAAGCTTAGGGAAGGAAAGGGTAAGTGGTGAGTGGAGTTTGTATTCAAAGACCGGAGTAAGCTTGGTGAGAATGACATGTCAGGCCCCGTGAACCGCCTTATATGCGGACCGAGCCGCTCACGGAGGGAGTCAGGACAGATTCGTCCTAGTGTGTGCCTGGCCCTTTCTGCTTTTTAAAACTTAAAGTCCTGGGTCCCTGGGAACCCTTCCCTTCCTCCAGTCTTGGTCTCCCAATCTGTCAGCCATCCTAGAGTGACCCCCGCCACAGACAGCATCACCCCGAGTCTCACATCTTCTAGGGCTCAAAATGGACCAGCGGCATCAACTTCTGGAACCCGGGCCCCAGCTCTCCACACTGCAACATGGACACTGAAGAGACCAGAGGAAGTACTTTTTGGTTATTTATCTCTAAAGTCTAAACACGTATCAACACCTGCAGGAAATCAGCAACTCATACCACACGTCACTTCCATCTGAAGCGTCCAGGCTAGAGGAGATATCCAAGATACCACATCCTAAGCTCAACACGGAGATCCCGGGGACCGACATGAAGACAGTGACCTCACCTGCAGCGGTGGGTCAGTTTCTGGAACCAGCCCTCCGGTGATAGGACGGCATTTTGCTTGTTATTTGTGAGTAGTATTTTTGAGATTCAAACAAGACCTTGTGCAATACTCAAATGTTCTGTGAAGCAAGAGGGAAGTCAATGGCTTCCAATTTTTTTTTTTCTCTCCTGTCTTTCTCCCTCATTTCAAAACAAATACGTTCCTATCACTCCGAGATCCATAGCAGATGACTGAGTAATGTGAGACGGGGGAAGATAATAACTCCAGGGGAAAAGGGCTGGGTGTCGGTCATGCATAGAGACAAAGGGAGCGAGGGGACAGAAAACAAAGCCCAACTATGCGATGTTTAGGGTGTTCACGCATTGCTCACATTTTTATCACGCAGAGTTAGGAGGACAAAGGGCAGAAACGTGGGTGAAGAAGAGAAAAGAAGTGGGTACGGGGAGAAACTGCCTCAATAAAACATCCAGTGCCCCATCTCTCTGGGATTTAAATATATTGTATTTACATATGCTGTAGGCGGTTAGACATGTGAGCAGAGCAAGGACGAGGGGTCAAGTACAGAAGGTCACCAAGGTGAGGCTTGGTTGAAGGGTGGGTGGGACCTCACCCCCAGGGTGACCTTTCCTCCCTACAGATGACAGACATCTAGGCTCAGTTGTATTTCAGCCCAGGCCCAGAGAAGCCACAGAACCAGCCATGGCTGACCCCAGGACCCCCTGCCCTGGTGCTGGCCAATCAATCAGTGGAGAACACAGCCCTGAGTGGACACATATGAAAAACTGCTGGTCATTCTATTCAGACCTTTTCCTGGGACCGCCCCCAAATCTCTGCCCTGAAAACCCTAGGATGGAGGACCCAGTGCGCTCTCCCTCCAGGGAGCACCCCGTGCCTTTCCCTCTCCTCTCCGTTTTTCTCCCCCTTCCCCTCACCATTCCTGGGCACCTTGCCATTAGTTTCCTCCCTCCTAAGCTCCCAGGGCCCTTCCTTTACCTCTAGAACGTGCTTGCTAAGCCCCCTTCTTCTAGGAGTTATGTTTTCCACCTCTGAGATTTACCCAATAAATGTTCTCTTACAGTTTGGTCTGGACTTCGAATTCTTTCCTCGCCAGGACCCAAGTGCCAAGGTTTCTGACCCCTGCTTTGGTCTGACCCCCTCCAGCCAGACACCAGGTGCCGTTCCCGCCGCCCTCAACATATTCAAGGCAGTTGGAACCATCAGAATCCAAATGAGACTAAGAAGCAAGCAAAAACGCTTTCCCCAAACACTAAGCAGTAGCAAGAGGTTGATGCTGTATTGCTGTTCCTATATGTATCGTAAACAGAATGCTTCCTTTGTGGATAGGAAGTTTCAAGCATTGTTATTTCCCTCGTTTGTTCAGTGGTTCGTAGACTGCTGGGCAAATTTATTCCCGTGATAAATCTTGAAGGAAATCCAAACTTTTAGCCATACTCTTTGCCATCTTCTCTCCTCTTATGAACCAGAGTTGATAAAAAAAAAAAAAAATTCTTTTGGCAATATCCATGTTGTTATTTTTTCCACATACTGATTTTTGGGCCTGGGGCACATTCTGCGGTAAAACTTTGAACTCTTCCTCCCCACACTTTACTTAGACCAGTCACACCAAGAAAAACATCACGAATCACAGCTACTCCATGCATCTAGGCCCGTGCTTGGTCAGATCATGCTTGCTGGGAAAACTTCGTTTCTATATCTACACTACTATTGGCTAAAACGAAAAAAAATCAGGACTGTGACCTTTGTACGGGTTCTATTGCTGTTATGTCAGCCACGTTCTGCCTTCCTACAACTGAGTATTCTATTGTCCTCTGAGGCAGTAACTGACTGAAATTAGATGCCAAGATGGATAAAACTCAATTCAAATTCTGTGCCAAAGGAAGATACATTTTATTCTGGGGCTATTTCTGGAAATAAAACTTCCTTTTGGTAATTTGGTTTAGCTGAGGGTTTCTCACAGTGACCACTGGAGTGAAAAGGACATCAAAATAGCCTCACTAAATTGAAGACTGAGTAATTGGATTCAAAGTTTATTTTTACATCTACAATATTTTCGAAAAGGAAAGGGAACGAGTAACTTCTGCGATCGCCTTTCCACAGTAAGACTAGTAAAATACTGAGTGTTTTTTAAAGATTAAAACTTTCCCCTCCTTGGAGCATGAAGCTTAAGCACATGCATGATTGATTGCTGTTTAGAAGACAGAGCATGTCCATGTCCCAGAGCTATTTCTCCCTCAAATGGAAATTCTTCCTCTAAGTCTGTGGTCAGCAAACTGTGGCTCTTTTGCCCCTTAGTGTGGCTCTTCAAACAAAATACCACAGCCTGGGCGAGTCTATGTTGAAGAATGGTATTAGAAGTGGTTTAAGTTTTAAAAATTTGGCTCTCAAAAGAAATTTCAATCGTTGCACTGTTGGTGTTTGGCTCTGTTGACTAATGAGTTTGCTGACCACTGGCCTAAGTAGTTCTTGAGTGCAGGGTGATGGCATTCTGGCTACAAAAGGGTACAGAAGACTCCCACAAGGTCATGTTTAAACCTGGACCAACCAATGTAATAGTTGCCTGTTCCTAGGGACTCAGGGTTGACCAGAAGGCTGGAGCCTGACCCTCCCCCTCCCCCTCCTCCTCCTCCTCCTCCTCCTCCTCCTCCTCCTCCTCCTCCTCTTCCTCCTCCTCCTGGCAAATGACCTGATTCCCAGATAAGATCCTGATGTTCAAAGTATGCAGTGCTTAGTTCAAAAATGAAGACCCCCAACGAAGTCTTGGAAGTAAACATGCTCTTTGGTATGGAAAAAAAAAATCAAGTGAAAATGTAACAAAATACCGAAACATGAATGCTCCCATTCTGAGCCACTTGTCTCTGGGTGGCTTTGGGTCAGGGTCACGGAGCCTGTGGGCTGGCACTGGGTTGTTGGAATGTCAAGTTTCAGGGCTTTGCAAACAAGTCAGCATGAAGCTGTGTCTCAATACACAGTCGATGCCTTTAGGATTGGAGACTAACCACCAGGAAACGGGGCCATGTTTGCAAGAAGGTGGCCTGGCCTTCCAAACAGCCCAGAACCCCAGTGTTCCCCACTGCCTCAGGGTGCTCCGTTTAAAACAGCGGCGTCGCTTCCCTGATTGGCCCCAATTTCTTCCTGAGAACTGTAATTCAAGCTTCTGAGGCTGGAGAACTTCATTCTACACCATTATTTTATTTAAATTGAGGACTTTTTCTTGGATGTGCTGGGTGGACCCAAAGACAGCACAAATACTCAAAGTTGATGGAAGCGGGAGTACTTGGGACTTCGAAATAAAACAAAAACAAAAACATGGTCTTCCCCTTTATATAACAAAGGCCTGGTCTGTTTTTCTAAACCGGAGCTCTCTCCAGCTGTGCGCAGCCCCAGATGTTCTCCCTGTGAGGCTGGGTACAGAAAGCCCCCTGAGGCCCAGAGCTCACGTCAGAACGCCCACCTCCTTGCTCCGTTTCCACGTTGTTTACAAGAACAAGCCATTCTTCTCACCACCCTGCAGCTTGGAAGTCTGTGTGGCCCTGTAAGGGTAGAACAACAAACAGGAGAGGGCTAGAAAGATGCTGGTGGAAATAAGGTAAAGAGTGGACAAATCCTAAAGCAGGAGAAGAAACAGCTGGAAACCAAGGGCGGGGGTGTGCTTATGCTTTGTGAACGGAGTTGGCTGAAAAGACAAAACCAAACCAAATCCCAGGAACAAAAACAGCCCCACAGACCTTTCCAAACCTCAACTATTCATGTGTTGTGTTTCCATTTGCAAAACATTAGGTTTCACGGGCTTTGCTTTCCCATCAGGACTTATTTTTATCTTACAGATGCAAACCTCCCTCCCTTCCCCCGGGAAACGGCAATTTCATAGGGTACAGCCTAAAATACTTGGGGATAGAGTGCAAAAAAATCTTCCAGCACCGTTTATTGACCCTCCTCCCAAATGAAACATTCATGGCTGTGTAGAAATATGTGTGGAAGAGAATGTTTGTAATAGTGGCATTTGTAAGAATAAGATAAAAAAACGAAACTTAAAAGCCTACGAATTCTTAGATGTGTTTTCATTGTCTTTAGGCTGCTTTGGCTTCGTTGAGGGCCTTGAATCTGTAGCATGATATTTCAGTCAGCTTGGAGAATTCTCTGCTTATCGCTGCTGAAGTCTCTGCCGAAATTAGCCCCTCTCTGCTGCTTTTGACCAGATTTCTTGGAGTCAGTCTACACACTGGCACTTTACATAGACACCAACTCTGTCAGGGGTCCTTGCGTGCAGAATTTGAGGCTCACGCTCTGTGGGTCTCTCCTCTCCAGGGTTACTTTCCAGTCACAACTGAAACCCTGAACTAAGCCGAGCTCTGTCTCCTAACTTCAGTATGACTGCTACTTTCTGCTGAGGCTCAGTCTCATAATTAAGTATGGGTAAATTCAAGGGTCATGTCCTTTCCAAGTACTACATTCTTTGGTTATTCTCTACTGCCTTAGTATATGCTCCCCCAAATTTTACAATTGATATTATCAGGAGGGTTACTCTAACAGAAACATGCTTGCAAAGCTACGCAGTCATGTTGGGACGTGGCACACGTTTAAATGGATTTAAGCTGTGCATTGCACTCAGAAGAGTATGACGAGACTTTAAAATTTGACATGATGAATTATTGAGTGGCTCAAATAAATAAGGGAAATTGCAACATTTCGTGTTGGAATAAGCTTCAGATTCCAGGGCTGGTGCCAATCTGAATATGTAGGAGGGACAGGAAAGCCCATGGCTGGTGGACTTTGTGTTCCTTTGGCAAGAAAGAGCACCGAGGGGCAGCTTTTAGTCTCCAGGGCACAGACTAAGTGTATTTGTAAGACACAACGTTGACACTTAAAAGCTGCCTTCGAATTGGCACGTGCTATGCTTCTGCAATCCTCATTCTGCTGGAATGCATTTCCAGCCAGCGCTTGCCAAGGCTCTTGGGTCGGATATTCAGAAGACAGAAACATTTGCTGCCACCCAGGTGGCTGGAAGGAGGGAGCCAACATCCCTCTGTCTGTGCAGGGCCACTGTGGAGTGAGCTTCTAGAAGCATTGAACGTCCATGGATATTTTAAAAACCAGACCAGAAGATGGCACCCTTTGAAAATTAGCTTGGCAAATTAAAAGGAACAATACAGAAAGTGTTCTGTTTAATCTCAAGTGCAGCAATGTGATGCGTAGCTGGGAAAAGAACAGCATTTGGTAATGACATTGAATGACATCTTTATGATGGTTTTGAGGGATATTTGTTGTTCGATTGTTTTCAGTTTTGAAAAATGGGCAGAGGAATCTCATGGAGTTTCTGGAGACATTTTATGATGTTCTAAAGAAAGTTGCAAACAACGATTTTGTTGTTGTTAATGTTAATAACAGGATTGAGCCAGAGATATGTTTTTCCTTTCCATTCTTTCTTTACTAGGTAAGAATAGCAATGGCTAAAAAGGGAGGAAGTAAAACAGGCTTTAAGCCCTGAGACTTCCTGCACTCAGGTTTTATATATGTGTAACTGACTTTCTAACACCTAACAGTAAGGTCAACTAGTTCTTCCCATCATAAACCAAAGTGCTCAGGATAAGAATGTAATTAAGATCCTGCTGTGTTTAGAAGCTATAACATGTAGGACTATCTTTTACTCTAATGCAGATGATATTCATAGTCTGCATCTGTATCTGAGGGTATGGGACTCAAGATGAATTTAAAATTTTAATCCTAGTATGCTACTTCCAAATTTTGGGAATCCATCATCTTAGCTAAAAGTCTTCAGAACTCTTTCTCTGGTCTAGGAATCTCCTTGGCTTTGCTTAGGGTATTAGCATATTGGGAAAGAGAATCTTAATATATATATTGATTTTTACAGAGAGGAAGAGAGAGGGATAGAGTTAGAAACATCAATGAGGAACATCCATCAGCTGCCTCCTGCACACCCCCTCATTGGGGATAGAGCCTGCAACCGAGGTACATGCCCTTGATCAGAATCGGACCCAGAACATTTCTTCAGTCCTCAGGCTGACAACACTGTACCCACTGAGCCAAACCAGTTAGAGTGGGAAAGAGAATCTTAATTTTCCTATTATTTCTTCTCTAAATAATTCCTATCCCTTCACCCAAATACCTCCATTTGTTTGTCCCAGGGATCAAACAGCTATTTGCATGGCCTACAGGATGTGTTGTTGAGACAGATGGGATCAAGATCTTATGTGAATCCTACGTGGGAAGCTAGGCAGGTAATCCAATTCGGTCATTGATCCCAAAGGACAAGGATGAGAAGAAGATGTAGTTTTGAGATAAAAGGCAGAGTTCAAAGTCGAGAGTAGAAGGCAGAGCTTAGAGGAATTCTCTGGGCTCTAAGGACACTTTTCTAGATTTTAGAAACCGACGGGCAGGAAGTTGTTAAGGGCTCTTGCCTGGCTCAAGGTGGGAAGGTTAAAGTGTGATGACAAGGTCAGTTCATGTCCGTGGTTTACCTTCTCTGAGCTAAATGCACTCATCTCCAGCTACTCTGAGTTCTGGGCGCTCCTGGCTCACAGCCACTCTCATCTCCCAAGGATTGCTTTTGGCCTCATGGGAGCCATCTCACCGCCCCTGGGACAGCCCGTGCTCACGGACAATACACAGGGAGTGCGGAAGACCAGCACACTTGCCTCCAATGGCACCAACTCTGGAGCATTTCATTGTCCAGAGCTCCTTGTGGAAGAGGCTACCTCTATTTTCTAGCCTAGAGCACTCCTGGATGACTGGATAAAAGTTCCGGGCAGCTCTGAGGAGGAGAGGGAGTCTCCTCTACCCTGGCCGCTGTGGCCCTAGGATTCAAGCTCTAATCAGTGAGCAGGGGCACCCTTGCTGGGAAAGTCATGGTTCTTCACACAGGCCAGTGCAACTCAACCCAGCCCTGCCCGCCCCCTGCTGCTGCAGACCTTGATGCTGTCACACCTGCTTCCCTATCTCTCCTGGGATGGCCAGCAGTCCTATCTGATTAGGACCTCACCCTTATGACGTCATTTAACTTTAATTGCCTATTAACAACCCTATCTCCAAAGACAGTCTCCATAGGGGTTAGAGTTCCCACACAGGAATTTGAAGGACACCCACAGCACTGCAACTGTAGATATTATCAGTAAATATCTTTTAAAATCACACTATATTAATTCCATTAACTGCTTTGAAACAGTGGTATGGATCTGCCAAGTGTTATTATTTTGAAATCTGGCATATTTTGTATTGAGCTGTTTAAAAAAAAAAAAAAA